ATGGATTTCACAGTAAAAAAACAATAACAAGATTTAAATTTTAAACTGCACTTAAATTGAAAAGTATTATTCATTTCATAAAACAAATCTAAAATGTAAAGGAACTTTTCAAATTAAGTTGGAAACCTTAATCAAGAAGAGGGCATTCAGTAGTGAGATTTTTATTATCAAATACTGCTGAAAAAAATAATTTTTAACTTTTTAAGAACATTCTCACAGTCAAGGGTTGTCAGAAATGGACAAAGCTTTGAAACATATGAAAAGTTCTGTATATCAAATGCTAAGACAAAGCGATAGGTCATCTTATGATATAACATTTTTTAAATGTAGTTAAAATGTCTTAGTAAAATTTTCATCCTTAATTTCAGTATAAAAAGAGTCTTATACAATGGAATACTACTCAGCCATAAGAAATGATGAAATCCAGCCATTTGTGACAACATGGATGGACACTGAGGGTATTATGCAAAGTGAAATAAGTCAGAGGGAGAAGGTCAAATACCGTATGATCTCCCTCATTAAGTAGTAGATAATAACAACAACAAACAAACACATAGAGATAGAGATTGGATTGGTGGTTACCAGAGGGGAAGGGGGAGGGAGGAGGGCGAAAGGGATAATTTGGTACATGTGTGTGGTGATGGGTTGTAATTAGTATTTGGGTGGTGAACATGATGTAATCTATGCAGAAATAGAAGTGTAATGATGTACACCTCAAATTTATACAATGTTACTGCAATAAACAAAAAATTTTAAAAAAATAAATAAATAAATAGAGTCTTCAGCAAACAAATCTCATGTTTGTAATATTAAAGGTACCCAAAAGATGCTAGAGAACAGCTATGCTAGAAGATAGCTGGAGAACATTAAATGTCTGGCCAAAGTTATGTTTATTTTGCTTTAGGCCCCAGCCAGAAGAGCACCACAGAGGAGCAGAGGAAGATAGGAGGTGAAACTATCACACATTATATTATAACAAAAATACAAGAGCCATTTCCTATTGCAGAACAATCACAACAAAGTAGGTAGGAGTAGGCGTTAGGGAAGAAAAATTGGTCATTTTGAAGAAAGGTTTGAGGATGTGTGTTGAAAAGGAGAACTAAAAAAACCTCAGGAAATTTTTCTAATTCTGAGTCTTCACAAACAATGAAGGAGCCCAAATAGTTAGGTTTAATGTAAAATGCTACTTATATCCAACGTGGAGTAGTATCTGTTGTTGATTTTTAATAGGTCTACCTCAACTAGTTTCATTGGAATATTTTGAAATTAGGAAATTAGTACATTTACTGGGTTTCAAAAAGATCTGAGCAGGGATCAGCCCTATGGTGTAGTGGTTAATTTCACGTGCTCCACTTTTGCAGCCCTGGGTTCATGGGTTCTTATCCCAGGTGCAGACCTACACACTGCTCATCAACCCATGCTGTGGTGGCATCTCATACACAAAGTAGAGGGAGATTGGCACAGATGTTAGCTCAGGGACAATCTTCAAAAGAAAAAGATCTGAGCAAAAGTTTTGATACAAATGAAAATAAAACCAAACTCACCTTCCATAAGTGTCATTTTTAAGCACAGCTAGAGAAGCGTGATGCTTTGATGCCCAAGTTTCCTTTGCATCCGAAATTCTAATCCAACCCGGAAACAAACTGAAGGAAATCACCTCACTTCTCACGCTCATCACCCTCTTCCCTTTTGGGACCCTGTGACCTACCTCACAGGACTGAGGGATTGAGGGGTAATAACAGATGTGAAGTCACTTAGAAAACACAGTAAAGCAACTTTAGAAGATATGTCACACTTCAAGTAATCTAATCACATCCATCAAAATGAAATTTGCAAGTGTTTGGGAGTGAGATGTTGTCTATTTTCCAGAAATCACAGACAGCTTATATCCCTTCATGTGAAAACTCTTTTGCGCCTCCTATAGAAGCTCCCATCCAACCCAAATATTTTTCATAAGTAGTCTCAGCAGAAAAACTAACCTGAGAATGATATAATAGCACTTTCAATTCTGAAAAATCCACCAACACTATTTGATCAATTTCCTTGGGCGCTGCAGAGGCTGCTGCCTCAGCCTGCTCTTCCCGCCGACTCCTCTCTCTCACTGCCTTTTTTACAGCAGCGAGGTGATTTCTAGCTGCGATTCTCCCACCATCGTCCTGTTTTGGTTTACTTGCTATCCCCGAGACAACTTGTTTCTGCAAAGAGAAATTATGAAATTTACTAAAGCTACTCATTATAAGAAAAACAAATAAAGCATACATAAAATATGTCACACATTAATCTTATACTTATCAAGTTCCTAGTATGTGCTAAAAATGCTGGGGGGCAAAGGGAAAGGACAAAGTCCCTGTCCTCAGTGACTTCATAGCTTCACAGTGGAAGAGCTAGATAGATAAAGGTAAATGTCATGTTAGAGATAAATTCAGAGGGCTGTAGGAGCAGACAAGAGTAACACCTAAATCATTCTTCAGAGGCGTCAAGAAAGTCTTACAGGAAGTAGCACCTAAGCTGAAATCACAGCGAGCCAGGCTAAAAGACAGGGTGACGAAAGGGCTAGGAAGAGAGAACAGCTTGTCTGCACAACCAGAAGTGAAGGAAAGCATAAAGGAGTTGGTAAGAGATGAGCACCAGCTAGATTATAAAGTCCCTTGCATGTAACCATTGTAAGGAGCTGCATTTATACAGAGGACAAAGGAATAGACTATTGATGAGTTTTAATCAGGAGATTAACATTATTGGATTTGTGTTTTAGAAAGACCACTCTGGCTATAGCCTAGAGAATGGACTAGAGGGTTACAAACCAATTAGGAAGGAGACTACTGCAGTGATCCTGGAAAAAGATGATGGTAGTCAAATTGAGGAAGAAGTGGAAAAAAACGAAGAGATATTTAAGAGGTAGAATCAAGAGGACTTAGCGTACTTAGCTCACACACACTTAGTGTGCGAGCGGAGATGGTGAAATAGAGAAAGGAAAGAACCAAAGAAGATACTTAGGTTTCTATCTTGGACACCTGGTGGGAGGGTAATGCCATTCTCTGAGACAAGAAAACATTGAGGTGTGTGGAGATGGTGTCAGTTTGGGATATATGGATTTTAAGGTATACTGAGCCAGGATATATAGAACTAGAGCTTAGCCATGTGTGGTTTGAAATATAGATTTGGGAATCACTGCAGGGTGGGTAAGATTGCACAGGAAAAATATAGGAGAAATGAGAGTTGAGGTAGGAAGTCAGAATATCACAAAAAGTTGAAGGGATAAATGGAAAAACAGAAACTTGCAAACATGACTAAAGAATGGGCACAGAGGAGGAAAATCAGTAGGAAGTAATTTCACAGAAGAGCAAGAAGACTGTCTCTAATACTGCAGGGGGATTAGATTTTATAACTCATAAGTGTCTAATAACCTCACAACTAGTGGATAAATATCCTTGGTGACAACTGTTCTAGAGGTGAGGAGAGGGGCGAGGCTGAACTGCAGTGAGTTGGGGAGGTAAGTGGGAATCAAAATAGTAAAGACGGTATAGACGACTTTCTCAGGAGGCTTGTCCGTGATTAGGGAGAAAGATTGGAACGGGGCACAGATAACTGGAGGGAGATGTGGACATCACAGGGTTTGTTGTGTTATTTTTTTAAATGTAAACAAAGATAAGACCCTTCACCATGTCTAAAAACTGATGAAAAAGAGAGAAAACAAGGCTGACTGACAGAATGAGAGGTCAATGAATAAAAGGTCTGGGGGAATGGTATCAAAGTATAGGTAAAAGATTAGTTTTATTTGTTTGATAATCTTAACACTGGCCTATAAAATAAAGTAGGAGAGAGACACCTGATGATAAGGGGCAAAATTATAAGGCTCTGATATAACGCTATACTGATACAGCCATTGTCTGTGTCACTGATGATATTATGTTGCCAGGACTAAGCACTCAATAAGAAATGCCAACACTAGCTTCGAAATGTTCAAGCATCCTTCCTGTTTAATAGACTTGAAATTCATTCAATCAACTTTGTCACTGTCCTCAGGGTCCTTGTCATGAGAATTCATTAGTAAAATAATCGTATAATAAGGTTCTTTTAATACTCTAATATCTTAAACTGCTAAGATAGGATTCAAAACAGAGTTTTTATTTGGATTACATAGCATAATAGAGTACCAATTTAGAAACCTGATTTTATAACAACAGGCATGTTTCTAAAATCTAAAAGAAAAACCGGCAAGGCTCCAAGGTTGTTTGAGAAGTATCCATCTGAATCAAAAACTTGGGAGTTAAAATATTTCTATAAAAAAATTACTACAAACAGATAAGAATGGAATCTATCATGTTAGCAAAGCTAATTTTACTGAAAAAATAGGAAATTTTATATGATAAAATATGGGGAAGGAGAGAGATATTCTAAGAGTCATTGTTCCTCTTTTCTACTTCAAAAATTCTTTCATTTTGAAATATATCACACAAAAGAGTATATAAAACAGAGAGACAACATAGCCTATGGTTTAAGAACATAGGTTCTGGGATGAGAACCCAGCTCCACCTTGGAAAAGGGATTTAATCTTCCTGGGCCTCAGATTCCCCACCTGGGAATAACAGCACCCACTTCACATTAAATGAGTTAATACGTGTAAAGTACTGGGAACAATATTTGGCACATACTAAGCATTATATAAATTATGTACTACTACTACTATTATTATTATGAAAAACTATATAAGTACAGTTTAAAGAATAAAACACACACACATACCCACTATTTAGCAACTCCGTAGCTCTCAGGGTGACCAAATTCAATCTCAGCCCCTCCTTCCCTCCCTCCAGGAATAACCTGAATTTTGTGTTGATTATTTCCTTACTCTTTCTTCAAAGACAATCAGGACATTATAAGTAACATATGAAACTTATTTTGTAAAATGATGAAAAATCTGAAGCTAAATGTTTCTAAAGCTTAAATTCATTAAAGTAAAAGAGTTTATATTAGAAACCCACAAATTTACCCAAAAGACTGTTTTGCTTGTATTATTATCACTCTCCCATCCACACTACTCAAGTTTGGTCAGATTGTTGGATTTTTGGTGTAGATCCTGTATCTGTTAATAAATAAAGTACAAGTTTATCAGATTAATGCTAACTATATTAAATTTACAAACTAATGAACTGAAGCTTCAAAAAAAATTGACAGTGACTTGGACTGGTGACATAAAATTAGGCTAAGTCATTCTCAATTTAGTATTCAAATCAAGAATTCTTATGGTAAAATTGTTCATTGTTGTTTTTGGTCTTATAAGCCTCAAAAATCTACATAAAGGATGTCATATATGAATAACACTTCCAAATTATTTTTGATCACTAAAATGGTAGGAGAGGTATCCTAAATTATAAAATGAGAACACAATCTCTCTCCCTTTTTTTTTTTCCCACAGTTTATTTATACATTCTTCTACTGAGGAACATATTCATTGCTTCCAAGTCTTGGCAATTATGAATAAAGCTGCTATAAACATCTGTGTCCACATTTTTGTGTGGACATATGTTTTCAATTCATTCGGGTAAATACCAAGGAGCATGATTGCTGGATTCCATGGTAAGTGGATGTTTAGTTTTGTAAGAAACTGCCAAATTGTCTTCCAAAGTGGCTGTACCATTTTGCATTCCCACCACCGATGAATGAGAGTTTCTGTTGCTCCACATCCTCACCAGCATTTGGTGCTGTCAGTGGTTTGGATTTTTGTCATTCTAATAAGTATGTAGTGGTATCTCATAGTAGTTTTACTTGGCAATTCCCTAATGACATATGATGTTAAGCATTTTATCTTTTCATATGCTTACTTGCCATCTATCTATCTTCTTTGGTGAAGTGTCTGTCTGTTTAGGTCTTTTGCCCATTTTTTAATCAGGTTGTTTGTTTTCTTCTTGTTGAGTCTTAAGAGTTCTTTGTATATTTTGGAGAACAGTCCTTTAGCAGATACATCTTTTGCAAAATTTTCTCCCAGCATGTAGCTTGCCTTCTCTTTCTCTTGACACAAACTCATTTTATTTATACTTAACTTTTTTTGGTGAGGAAGATTGGCCCTCCTGAGCTAACATCTGTTGCCAATCCTCCTCTTTTTTTTTTTTTGCTGGAGGAAGACTGGCCCTGAGCTAACATCTGTTGCCAATCCTCCTCTTTTTTTTTTTTTGCTGGAGGAAGACTGGCCCTGAGCTAACATCTGTGCCAGTCTTCCTCTATTTTGTATGTGGGCCACCACTACAGCATGGCTTGATGAGTGGTGTAGGTCCATGCCCAGGATCCAAACCCACAAACCCTGGGCCAACAAAGTGGACTGCGCCGAACTTAACAACTTTGCCACTGGGCTAACCCTGACACAATCTCATTTTAAAGGATTCAAATAGTATACTTACTAGCAGGATGGGTATGTATGATTCCCATCCTTCTGGTATTTCCAGTCTCCTCCAAAGTGGTAACCACTGTCAACAGTTTGGTAAATACGCTTTGAGTCCCCTTACTATGCAGTTATACAAATAGGTACTCTCAATCGCGCAAAAAAATTAAATGTCAAAAAGACTCAGGATTACACTTATGACCAACTGATTTTCAACAAAAGCACCAATGCAATTCAGTGAGGAAAGGACAGTCTTTTCAGCAAACAGTATTGGGAAAATTGTATATCTTCAAGAAAAAAGATGAATTTAGACTCTTACTTACACCATACACAAAAATGAACTCCAGAGCCAGCCCCAATGACCTAGTGGCTAAAGTTCAGCATGCCCCACTTCAGTGGCCTGAGTTTGGTTCCTGGGCACAGAACCACACCATTTGCCTGTCAGTAGCCATGCTGTGGTGGCTCAGAAAAAAGAACCAGAAGGACTTACAACTAGAATATACAACGATGTACTGGGGCTTTGGAGAAGGAAAAAGAAAAAAGAGAGGAAGACTGGCAACAGATATTAGCTCAGGGTGAATCTTTCCCAGCAAAAAAAAAAAAAAAAAAAAATTAATCACAATTTAGTTAAAAAAAAAATAAACTCCAAATGGATCATAGACCTAACTGTAAGAGCTAAAACTTTAAAACTTTTAGAAGAAAACATAAGAGAAAATCTTTGTGACCTGTGGTTAGACAAAAAGAGTTCTTAGAAATTATGACAAAATCACAACATAAAAAAAAATGCTTGATAAGTTGAAGTTCATCAAAATTAAAAACATCTGCATTTCAAAAGATACCATTAAGAAAATTAAAAAACAAGCCACCAACTGGGAGAAAATATTTGCAAACATTTCTGATAAAGGACTTGTATCCAGAATATACAAAGAACACTTACAACTCAATAATAAAAAGACAAACCCAATTAAAAATGGGCAAAAGATTTGAATAGACATTTCACCAAAGAAGACATATGAATGGCTAATAAGCACATGAAAAGATGCTGATCATTACTCATTAGGGAAATGCAAATCAAAAATACAATAAGACACTTCATACCTAATAGGATGGCTATACTAAAAAAGACAGCAGCAAGCACTTGTGATGACGGGGATGCAACAGGAACTCTCACACTTTGCTGGTGGGAATGGAAAACGGTGTAACCACTTTGGAAAACAGTTTGGAAGTTTCTCAAAAAGTTAAACATAAATTTACCATATGATCCAGCAATATCTACCCAAGAGAAATTAAAACATGTCCACACAAAGATTTAAGTGAATATTCATAGATTATTTATAATCATCAAATAGTAGAAACCATATATATGTCCATCAACTGGTGACTAAAGTGATATATCCATATAATGAAACACTACTCAGTAATGAAAAGGAACAAAGTATAGATACATGTTACAACATGGAGGAACTGCAAAAACATCTTGCTAAGTGAAAGAAGCCAGATACAGAAGACCACACATTGTATGATTCCATTTAGTATAAAATGTTCAGAAAAGGCAAATCTACAGAGATAGTAAGTAGACTAGTGGTTGCTTGGGGCTGGGAGTGGGAATGGGAATTGACTGAAAACAGGCAAGAGGGATCTTTTTGTGGGGAGAAAATGTTCTAAATTTGGATTGTGGTGATGGTTGCACAACTCTATAAATTTACTAAAAATCATTGAATTTCACACTTAGAACAGGCAAATTTTATAATATGTAAATTATACCTCAATACAGCTCTTTAAAATAAATAAAGGCCCCAGGAGCCAACTTGAAGAGGCTTCCACTGGCCAAAGCTGGGAAATGAGCATCAATAAAGATAATAACTGTGAGCAATGCAAACACAAATACCTTTAAATCCATAAATTAATAATGATACCAAAAAACACAAAATTAATTGGTCACCATTGAAGGATGCTAGTGAACCAACTAATTATTATGACAACTGGTCATAAAGTAAGGCTTACATTATTATGACTACATAAGTACTATTCACATTTGGGCCGTATAATTACTGAGAATACTGTCTTTCTTCACTTTTTTCTTTAGACTTAATCATTGTTTTGCTCTTTGCTTAGTTTTTTTGTGTATCTATCATCAATTCACCTCTAAACTCTGTACAATAAGTATAAATCTCCTCTTAATACATTTAGAAACACAAACCAATTAGGTATTCTATTCAGCTCAGCTTCTGAGACAGGACCTCGCAGGGCCCCTGCCTCCTGCTCCAGTCTGAACTACTGCTTCCTAAGCTTGCTGCCCACTGTCTTTACTCACCTCGGCCATAATTCCCTTAGATGCTTTCTGGGGATCGGTCCCACCTCCTCCCCCTCTCTTGGCTTACTCCCTCATTTTTGTGAGGTCCATTCTCATTTTCCTGAGACAGGGTGAATGGGAGGTAAAATGTGAGACTGTGTGTGTCTGAAAAATGCCTTTCCACCCTCACACTTGATTGGTGGGTATAGAACTCTAGGCTGAGAGTGATTTTCCCTGAGAAGCTTGAGGGCACTTTTCTCCCAGCTTTTGATGTTGCTGTTGAGAAATCCAGGGCTATTCTGATTCTTGACCCTTTATATGAAACTCGTTTTTGTTGTCTGGAAGTTTCTAGATTTTTCTCTTCATCCCAAGAGTTGTACAATCATATTTACTTGTGCACTGGTGTGCATTTACTCTGATTCACAGTGCTAGGCACTCACTGGGCTCCTTCAATCTGGAATTCAGGTCCTCTAGTTCTGGGAAAAATTTTTAAACTATTTTATTGATCATTTCCTCTCCACTATCTTTTCTGTTCTCCTTTCCTGGAATTCCTATTATTTGTATATTATACTTCCTAAACTGGTCCACTTAATTTTCTTATCTAATCTCTCCTATTTTATATCTCTCTTTTTGCTCTATTTTATGGGAGATCTCAACTTCATATTCCATCTTTCTATTGAATCTTACATTCCTGCTCTCATAGTTTTTAACTTCAAAGAGCTATTTTTGCTGTTCTCTGAGTGTTCTTTTTTAAATAGCTGTTCTTATGTGGCAGAAGAAATGTCTGGTCTCTTTCAGAATATTAATACTTACTTTTAAAGTTCTTTTTGGGGCTGGCCCCATGGCGTAGCGGTTAAGTGCACAGGCTCCGCTGCTGGTGGCCCTGGTTTGGATCCTGGGAGCACACCGATGCACCGCTTGTCAGGCCATGCTGTGGCGGTGTCCCATATAGTGGAGGAAGATGGGCACGGATGTTAGCTCAGGGCCAGTCTTCCTCAGCAAAAAGAGGAGGATTGGCAGATGTTAGCATAGGGCCGATCTTCCTCACAAAAAAAAAAAATAAAGAAGGAAAAATAAATAAAGTTGTTTTCTCCTTGTCTTAGCTCCATTTCCTCCACCCAAATGGCTTTCTTCTTATGTTTGTTTTGGCCTCTTTCTTTCAGGTTACAGGCTTTCCTCGAATGTCTAATGATTGTTGGCTATTGGTTCTTGAAATAGTATTTTATATGCTTATTTTTAAAATAAGCTCAAAAACCTAGAAAGTGTCATCTCTTCCCATACCTTTACTGATCTTCCTAGTAATTCCCTCTATCACAGCACTTTCTACACTAGATTGGAATTACATGTAATGTCTGACTCACTAAGAAAACTATAAACTCCTCTGGGGTAGAGAATGTGCTTCATCTATCAGCTCCTCATACAACGCCCGGCACATGGTAGGAACAATAACTGCTGGATGGACACAACTACTGAAGACTCAGTGTAGTCATTTTCTCACATGTGGAATCACTATAGACTAGTCAACAGTTGAACAGAATCTCAGTTTCCAACCCATATAGAAATTACCCCGACAGTATGAGGGGACATCAGTCATAAAATGTAGACAGTGCTTTACAGTTTATAAAGGGGCTAATATCTCCTTTAATATTACAGGTGCCTAAGCAGTTATTATTAACCCCATTTTACTACTGTTACATTTTCAAAAAAACGAGTCTCAAAAGTTAATCTATTCAAAACACTTGACCACATACCTGAAAGCAAATCATATCCCAAAAGCCATCTAGATTTGTGCAGGTGGTATCCTTTTCACTTCGTTTATATTCACAATCGTCCACGAGTCCTTCAAACCGTTTGAACCTTTCCTTCATAAGGTGTCTTGTTTGACCAACAGTGATGCGAATAAGACCTCTGGCTAAAGGAAATATGAGATTTTTAAAAGTTAAAGAATAAAACAGGACCTTGATTGCAAGCCAACCAGCTGAGAAGACGACGTCACTCCAAATATCCTAGGGCTTACAGAGTCAAACTCTTACCTTAGAGCAAAAGAAAAATCCACTACAAAACTTTGTCATACAAATACTGAGCATTAACTCTCTGCTTCTATTCCCCCTAAAAGTTAGCAATATTCATTCTCATACATATTGCTACATAGTAAACAGCATTCTACTCTCCTTGTATTTTGTAAGAATTCAACCTCAAACAACTCACTGTACATCAGTATCTAAGGACTTCGTACAGCACACAAATGTTTTTTTCCGACTCAGCTTCCCCAAATAAGATTAAGGAACTTTTCAGAAAAATCTGTTCCATATTTGTTTAGGTAATTTTCATTCAGAAAATATTTTTATATAATTAAACAATACTAGATATAGATGTCACTCAAAAAGTCACAAAAAATCTAATAATAAAATAGGCACGTGTCTAGCTCTCAGGAATGATGGCTGATATTCTAATTGCATCTTTTAAGTTATGTACCATTTTAGCACAGAGATATTAGGGAACATGTTGAGATATGAAAAGTTCTTGCTATTTTGAATAACAAAACTATAAAGTTGGACAACACTAGATTTTTATGTTTCAGATAAATGTAACCATATTAAAATAAACAAAGCTAAGACATAAAAAATATAAATGTTCCCTCACCTTCATCTGGAATGTCCAATTCAAGCTTCCTTTCCCACTCAAGGCAGTATGAGGTTAACTTTTCAGTTTCTGATGGGAGAATAGTTCTAAAATTATGACATATGTTTCAGTTTTACAAATGTTTCTCATACTAATATCTAAGTATTAGCAATATGACACTCATACAACAGTAATTTTCCAGAGTTGATGCTTAATTATTATATGAACTGTGATATATTATAATCCATAAACACAAGTTGACATGTCCATCCCTCTACACCTAAAGCTAACATGGAGGGTTAATGCCAAGAGCCAGTTTTCAAGCTAATATTTCTCGTTCTTTCTGTTGTTATTTTTCAGAGGCTGAACAGAAAGAACCAGACATGCCTGAGTTCTCTTTTTAATTCTCTGTTATTGTCCATGGAACTAAGACCAACCCAACTGCCAAGAGCCCGTTGAAGCTAAAACCTGTAAGACTGGAATTACAGTGTTAGGGCCTCCCAGACTAGTTATTAGACTGCTTGTCCAAAGGCAGTGGTTCTCAACACAGGTCAATTTTGCCCCCAGGGGACATTTGGCAATGTCGAGAGTATTTGTGATTGTCACGAACTAGAGGAGTGCTACTGGCCTGGGATGCCACAAAACATCCTACAATGCAGAGGACAGCCCCACAGCGAGAATTATCCAATCTAAAATGTCAGAAGTGCTGGTGCAGAAACCTGGCCCAAGGTAAATTTAATCTGTTTCTTTATAAAAAGCATCCTGGCAGGAGAAACTGAGGATAGTTTTTGTTTCTTAGGAGAAAAATTTAGCTGTTTATATCTAACGGCATAATAGAGAACAACTTAATTAATGAGAAAGGAGACCTGGCTTAGACCTGATATTATTTAGTTGGGTAAATTGCTTATTATCTCAATATCTCAAACAACACAATGGACTAGCTACTCTCTAAAATCCCTTACAATTCTAAAATCTTATGTTCTAAAAACAATTGAAGTGGGTCTCAAACATATAAAAAGATACTCATTTATAATAGAACAAATGAGTATTAAAACTATAGCAAGATAATATTTGTTATCTATTTGATTGGCAAAACTCAAAAAAATTGTTAATACTGCATTGGAAAAGGAATGAGAATTTTCTTGCTACATTCACTCAAGAATAATAGTATGTAATCATTTCCTGTGTGATGTGGAGCATTGGGGCCTTTCTCCAAATGCAGTCCTCTTATCTGTGTCCAAGGCATTTAGGTGACATGGCTGAGGTTCCCCAAACGAGATGTTAATTTTCAGTCTTCATAGTTGGAGAAACATAATCCTATCTCATGCTGTAGTGGGCCAAGGAGCCTCCCACCATCTCCCTCTAACCTTCTTTTATAAAATAAACATTAACTTAGTTTCTTTGTGGAGACAAAAATGTAAGAGAAAATAGGAACTCCCATACTTTGCTGGAGGGAATGTAAATTGAGGTCTTTATATATTTGCACAGGAGATAACTGAAAAGCATACAAGGTTGTTCTTTGCAGGCTTGACTGTAATAGTAATAGACTGAACCCAATGTAAATAACCAGCAACAGGGATCTCTTAAGTAAATTGTGGTATATCCATATTATTGGATACAATGTGGCCATTAAAAAAACACACACACAAAAACATGTGGAAGTTCCTTAAAGTACTAAAATGGAATCTCTCCCACATTTAACATTAATGAAAACAGAATAGTATGCTATTGTTTACACAAAAAAAGAAAAATATATGTTTATCTACATATGCATTATCTATCTCTGGAAGTATTTGAAAGAAATGAATAAATGCCTCTATGGAAGGTTCAAACTATGGGGTTGGGAGCAGGGTTGGGACAAAGACTTCTCACTTGTACGTTTTTCTACCTTTTAAAGTAGGAACCACATGAATGTACTAGCTATTGAAAAAAATTAAAATTTCAAAAGTAAATAAAAATCACCCCAAAGTCAGTTTCCTCCTAATTCATCTACATATTATATTAAGGTTAGAAATAGTTTAATTTTGGGGCCAGCCCAGTGGTGTAGTGGTTAAGTTCACGCACTCTGCTTCTGGAGCCCAAGGTTCACAGTTTCGGATCCTGGGCACAGACCTACACACTGCTTATCAAGCCATGCTGTGGCAGGTGTCCCACATATAAAGTAGAGGAATATGGGCACAAATGTTAGCTCAGCAAAAAGAGGAGGATTGGCAACAGATGTTAGCTCAGGGCTAATCTTCCTCAGGAAAAAAAAAAAGTTTAATTTTGGTTTTAAATGTCTAGATATTAGTACAAAATTCTTACACTAGGAACAAATGCACAAACCTGAAATACAGAACATTGTGATATGACTGGGATTTCTGATCTTCATTTATTTCAAGTGATGGGACTTCTTTTATTGGAAAGCCATCTAAATTTTTAGTAGTAGTTTCATTTCTATTTAAGATATACTTTATGGATTAAAGAAAACATTACACGTAAATTTCAAAGCAGCAACTCCTAAAATGACATCCCCCACAAGACAAATTTGTTAAATCCTTCAATTTTTTTCAATGTTGAATTTAAAATTTTTATTTCTGCCTCAATGATTTCATTCATCAGATCTCCTCTAAAGTGTCTCTCAATATTCTTCATCACTTCAAATTTACACTTATGTCCCCCCTTCTCAGTGTGTATTCCTCATTCCAGCTCTGTCTCCAGATATCCCTCCCCATGCTTTTCCATCTCTTCTGACCCTGAGATCACAATCCAGAACTATATGGTGAGCTATATGGTGAAAAAGGCTCTAAACAATCTCCGATAAATCATAATCCAGAAAATCAAGTAAAAATTTCATTAAAATACCATACCTGTATCCCCAACTGTTAGATAACCCAAAGGATATTGTAATTGATTTGAATCCTGATGTACTGTCTGGAGAGAGTAAGTTTGATATTTCTGTGCCAAAATTTCTTTTGCTGCTTGAGTCTTATCACTAAAAATGATAGCAAAAATATACTCCATGAAACAAGAACCCCATATATCTAATTGAAGGATTTCTAAATTATGTTGCTTTTTAAAAACCTGGGATACAATAGAAATGTTTCTCTTTTTTTAAATGTGTCTATTCTGGAGGAGAAAAAATGCAAACACCTACAGTGGGAATGTGCATCTGTACTGACTGTGATGAGACCCACAGATGTGAAGACCTCTCAACAGGACGGAAGCACTGAGGAGTCTTGGATGCTGCTGAGCAGTTCCTAGTAAATTTGCCGCCAGCCAGTCTTTGCAAAACAAACTTGTCATTTCTTTTAAAGATTCAAACTGATTTTTTCCCCCCACTTTGCAAGTTAACATTTTGTCTTTAGAGGCAGTTTTTCTAAAGTAATACTCAGCGAAAAAACACAAACAACAACAAAAAAATCCAAACCATGTCTGAGATACAGTTCAGCAATTTCGTCTTTCTAAAAATTTATTTCTAAGTGTTATAATAAAGTCACTTATTAAAAATAAAAAACACAGATTGAATCATGAAAATAATAACAATGCATAGAAAATATCAAACCTATCAAACACATTATTGTAGACTTCTGAAGAATTTTTTTTGAAAGATCAAATTTTCATGACTTATAATGAACAAAGTTTACTAACTAAATAACTTAAAAAACACAGGCCAGGGACGGGCCCCATCGCTTAGGAGTTAAGTGCTCGCGCTCCGATACTGGTGGCCCGGGTTCGGATCCTGGGCGCGCACTGACTCACCGCTTCTCCAGCCATGCTGAGGCCACATCCCACATACAGCAACTAGAAGGATGTGCAACTATGACATACAACTATCTACTGGGGCTTTGGGGAAAAAAAGGAAGAGGATTGGCAATAGATGTTAGCTCAGAGCCGATCTTCCTCAGCAAAAAGAGGACAATTAGCATGGATGTTAGCTCAGGGCTGATCTTCCTCACAAAATACAAACAAACAAAGAACAACAACAACAAAAAAACCAAAAACACAGGCCAAATCTAAGAAAAGCATTTGTTATCCATCTTCACAAGGAATTCATTATTAACATTACATTCTTACACTTCTGTTTTTACAGGGCCCCAGGTGCACCTAGGTGTCAAAGCAGTTGTACCTCTGGGAGTCACAGGTGTGGCCAGATAGGTCTTCAGACCATCTAGTGGCTGAAACACAAAACTTCAGGTGCAAACAATCGCCTCCCTTTCATTTTTGCAGTATCTGTCCTAGGTAACTTTTCCATTTTTGATAATACACCATCTGGATCCATTCTATTTGTCACACTGGTTTGTGACTCCAAATCAACTTTAAAAGAAATGACCCAGATGTGAATAAACAGAATAGAGTGAGAATCTCTCTTCTGGGGATATATCCAACCAATTTTTCAAGCCTGAAAATGTGAAAGTTAAGAGATATGTCCCATGTACATAATTTAAGAGACAAAAAAATACAATTAAATGTATACATGGAATCAGAACACCAGCTACATAAACCATTGCTCCATTCCAGAAAGAGAGAGAACCAATCCTTATTTAAAAAACTAAATAATAGGTTTTAGGTATTACAGCAAATTAAAATATATGAAAACTAAGGTGGAAAAATTTACTCACCTAACAAATACATATCTTTTTACTTAAATTATATTGATAATTACAATAGTTTGAGAATCAGAAATCCAATGTTTATTGGATGACTACTATTGTCCAGGACCAAATCCTTTTTTTAAATAACCTTGGATTATTATAAATAACCTTATCATGTTAGTAATTTGTTTTTTTTTTTTGTGAGGATGATTAGCCCTGTGCTAACATCTGCCAATCCTCCTCTTTTCGCTGAGGAAGATTGGCCCTGGGCTAACATCCATGCCCATCTTTCTCTACTTTATATGGGACACTGCCACAGCATGGCTTGACAAATGGTGCATCGGTGCACGCCCGGGATCTGGACCTGTGAACCCCAGGCCGCCGAAGCAGAGTGGGTGAATTTAACCACTATGCCACAGGGCTGTGCCCCCTAAAATATTTTTCAGTGTGACACAGTAAGATTAACCATATAAAATGTGAAACATATTTTCAAGTCAATTTGTTACTTGGTATTTTTTTATTGCAATATAATTCGCATATAACATTATATTAGTCTCAGGTACACAACATAATGATTCAATATTTGTTTATTGTGAAATGATCACCACAGTAAGTCTAGTTAACATCCATCACCACACACAGTTACAATTTTTTTTTCTTGTGATGAGAACTTTTAAAATCTACTCTCTTAGCAACTTCCAAATACACAACACAATATTATTAACTGTAGTCACCATGCAGTACATTACATCCCCAGGACTGACTTATTTTATAACTGGAAGTTTGTACCTTTTGACCCCCTTTGCCCATTTAACCCACCCATTTAAACATAATTTTCAGAGGTTTCCACGTTTCTGATTTTTAATGAGATATGAATTGAAAGCAGAGTATTTCTACCTGGATAAGAGTTTAAGGGTAACCCTGTCCCTCAGGCCCGTGTGGCAGGGAAAGTAGAAACCAGTGATAATCCTTAAGGAGAAAAGAAATCTCAAGGGAGGAGCTATGACGTCCAGCTGCTGTCAGTGAAGATTCACCCAGTACAGCCTTCCTTGGAGGATCTATGTCTGAGTTTTAGTAAGAATCTAATCAGGTTTCTTACACTTTGGCGTAACTTTTTTTTTTTTAAGGCTAAGGAATTGTAGCATGGATTATAAATCAAAGGATTGGGTCTTCAAAGTGGTGGAACTTTTATGAAGACTCTACCAGGTACTATGCTAGATTGTATCAGAAACATTAGGTTATTTAATTCTTAAAACTACTCTATGTAGGTATTACATGTTGCAGGTGGGGAAATAGACTCATAACTTGCCCAAGATTATATAGCTAATCGGAAGCAAGACAATATGCAAACTCAGGCCTAACTGAATCCAAAGTCAATACATTTTGCCCTGCTCCACCCTATCTCTTAGCTAATATCTCATCTGAAGGTTTCTGTCAGCTGTGTTTTTATGTTTTTCTCTCTCTTCTGTTAACCAAATTACACTTTCTCTAACTATAAAGCTCTGAGGACAAGACACCTGAAAAACAATAACAGTAAATCCTCTTGATGCCTTTTTATGGTTCAAGAGGTTTTCACACACGTGTAGCTTAACTTCTTGAAGCAGTTCTCTATGCTTAATCTCAGCTTTATGAAAGTAGCAATGAGATTTTCAAAGTATCTAGAAATAAACAGATGTTTATACTCTACCTCGCCAGGTTTTCTTCTTTGTTTTTGGCAGGTCTTCCTTGATTGGATGCCTTTCTTTCTGTTTCATTTTCCAAAATAAAAATGCAATAAGAAATCCACTTTGACTAGATAGAAAATACTGCATTAAAAGTACTAGGTAATTTGGGAAAGGAAAAAAGGCAATAATAGGAAGGTATGTCTTAAAGGATTTTATGATTAAAAGTCATATTCTAAAATAGGACGAAAACAGATGAAATTTCTTGCCAAGTATAGACCATCTGTTTTCAAAATGAAAGGTGTTAAGGTATTTTACCTTTTGTCTCTGAATATCAAATGCATATTTATTATAGAAAATTAGGAAAGAAAAGAACAAAAACAACAACAATCCAAAAAAATCACCCAAGATTACATTATTCAGATATGATCACTGTTGACACTTCACGGTATGTTTTTCCAGTTTACTCTGATGTTCACATATTCACATACATTTTTTAGAATTTTGATCTTACTGTTCAGACTTTGACCTGTTTTCTTTGCCCACTTAATACATCCTGAACCATGTCATGCACTGTTCTTTCACTACATTGTTCTTAAATGGTTACACTGTATTCCACCAAATGGGCTGACTCTAACTTATTGGGGCTGTTAATTTTCACTTTGAAGCACCGTTCACACTAGTTCAGATACCTCGTAGTTTGAGCCCCTCTGTGTGCCAACTGGACGGCGGGGCCCAGAACCTGTCTTCACGAATTGGAATCTCACATTTCCTCCTCAAAGAAGTACATGATGACTTTAAAAACTGAACACAAGAAACCACAGGGCCCACAACATTCTGCTTCAGCCACTGATCAGGAGCCAGGTCTCACCGTGCGTCGCTGCCGCCGCGGCCTCGGCGGAGGAGGGAGGGCGAGGCTGCTCCGGGCCGGGTGCGGCTGCAGTCATTGATCGCGTCATTCTCGCGGACGTGGGCGCTGCAGACTGTCCAGCTGTGGGAACAAGGAAATTAAATGCTTTCTGTAACTACTAAATTACCCTTCTGGCAGCATCAGAACTTATAGTAATGGCTAATATTCCTACCTTTTTTCTCATCGTCCACTTTCTTTTCAGAAGTTTGTCTTTGACCAGATCGGGTTGCTCAAACATCACCCCCATGACCAATCTATTTAAAAGATTAGGTGCTATGTGATTTAATTGCATAATGAATCAAACG